GCATGCTGATAATAATTTTTCTACCAAGACACAGTGGAACCGGGCGCTTGTCAGTTCTTGGGAATATGAAGGTATTGGTAAATCTTAACGCTAATTTATTTGTCTGCTTTTGGCGAGAAAAAACACAACATCTCTTTTGAATAGAAATTAATTAATTGTTTTTTACAGTTAAAGGAAGTAGGGGTCGCCCGTTGTCCGAGGTAAAAACTAGCGAGAAAATAGCCGCCAAAGTTTGATGGCTTTCAAAGCTTGAGTGTCAAAGGAAACTAAAACTTCAATTACTACTCTTCAATATTTTTGCAGATACAACTCCACACAGAAATGTAGTTGTTGTTTTTTTTAAATAACGTAACAGGTGTTCAGCAAAAAAAAAAAGAAAAAAATTATATTTTCTAAACTAGAAAAATAAAAACGAAAAATATATTTTTTTTATCATGTAAAACTTACCACACCAACAGGAAAAAAATAACTTAAATTTAAATGTTTTGACGAGCGCTTCATTTCCCAAAGATGCTTCAGAAATTATATTTACGGTTGCAACCTAACTGGACGAACACACACTGAGCAGTGAAAAGTAAATCTTTTTTTTTTAAACAGTAATATGATTTAAAACAGATAAAAGATAGAAAAAAACAAAAAACAAATCAGGCATACCAATTTCCGCTCTTTTGCCAATTTGCTAGCGCTAGAGGTTCAACACTATTTATTGGCTATAAGGTCGTTCAAGTTTGGAGTAAGGTTTAGTGTATGGAGATTGTCAGGACGGACATTTGCAATATTTCAAGAGGGCTCAACATAATCGTTCCTTTGGCCCCTTGCTGCTTGAGGTCCTTCAGTTTGACTCCGGTACCCTAGAAGATAGGAGACTCACCTTGCATCGTTAACAGCATTGCCAAATAGAGCACAGAGGAGTGGGTCATCTGTGCACAAAGCAACATCTTTGGAGCTTCTGAGGGGGAAAAGAATATTATGGGAAACAAATTCTTAACGTATCTAGTCTTGTTACTGGATCATACACACACTCTCTGTCTCTCTCTCTGTCTCTCTCTCTCTCTCTCTCTCTCTCTCTCTCTCTCTCTCTCTCTCTCTCTGGCTGACTGGTTGGCTAACTCTACTTTTCCCAAGAACTGAGTTACCCTCTACACATTACTAGCACAGAAGCTCTACACATTGTGTAAAAGGCTCGATACAATCTTAACTGTATTTTTTAAATATTTGACGCTTAACGAAAATGGTGTATAATGTTTTAGCAGTAAATGTGTGCATCTTTGTGAATCCCCGAAACTATGAGTCATTCTCAGACCGTGGGGTGTTTTAAAAATATGAGTTTTCTCCCCGTAAACTCAGGTGCTCGTCAAAGTAATGAAATCGAAGGAACAGTCATTTTTTCCGCCTCTAGGTTATTTTTTATCAATTTATTTGTGTGGCTCAGCACATTTTATACCCACTTAAAACTGCACGTATTATTCTGAAAACGTTTTTAATCAAAGACACAAAGAAATTGTAAATTTGCATTTCCCAAAGACACTCAAGCTTTGGAATTCACCACTTTTTCGCAGGTATTTTCTCGCTAATTTGTTTTCTCTGTCACCATGTGACCCGCACCTCCCTATGTCTCAATAAATATCTCGACTTGCATTAAACATAGGTGGGCATTTTTTCATCAAAAGCAAGACATATGAACAAACTTTAAGGTGATATCAATGTCTTCATAAACTTTAAAAAAAACTGACGAGCATCTGAATCCACCATGTCTCGACACAAAATTAAGGTGTTTCTAAAAGCAACGATACCTTTGTAAACTATGATCTAGAAAGTTTCTACTCAAACATGACAGAGACAAAGAAACATCCACAAACACTTACAATATGAAAATCTCAAAGACAGACTTAAGAACTGGCATCAGTTGTGTAGATGACAACGTTTGATTTCGCAATTTGCTGCAGCGCGCAAAAGACTCCAGTTCAATTACCGTGCGCGACAGAATTTCTTAAAACCATATCGCTGGGTCTTTTTGCTGTGAGGTTGCATCATTCTCAGCCTAGATTGGCCCTGACAGGTAGGTCTAAAACTGCCTCCTAAAAAGGTAATTTTTGTCGACGCGGGTGTAGAAATATCTACATTAAAATGAACAGCCCTAAGGTCAACCTTCTACTAGATGTAAATTGTGCCGATAACTGGAAAAATATCTACATAATAATGACAGTAACAATAATAACATTATTATTGATAATAATAATAATATTAATAATAATAATAATAATAATAATAATAATACTAGTAATAATAATAACAAAAATAATAATAATGATAATAATAATAAAAATAATAATAATAATAATAATAATAATAATAATAATAACAACAATAACGATAACAATAATAGTAGTAGTAATAATAAAACTATAGAATAATTGTAATAATAATAATAATAATAATATTAATAATAATACTAATAATGATAACAATAATAATAGTAATAATAATAATAATAATAATAATAATAATAATAATAATAATAATAATAATAGTAATAATAATAATAAAAATATTAATACTAACAACAATAATA